TTTCCATTTGCTTTTGATGCTTGTATGCTCTATCTCCACTCCTGAAGCCTTTTAAAAATAGTACGGACCCCATTTATCAAGATGCTGGTGTGTCTAGTTGTGACAGTCTTACACAAATGGCTTGTGACACTCTCAGATGTCTGACTTTGTCTGCTCCTTCCTAGTTCAGCTGTTTGTCCCTAATCTGTTTTGCTGTTTAACAGGAACCTCTGTTCCTAACCCAAATGCCTTCTGCTCATTTTGTATAAAATCCCAAGCATAAATAGATTTCACTGCTCAAAGATGTTCTAAAGAGTTTAAGCCACCCTGTCCAGCTAGATGTCTGCTTAGCCAGTGACTTCCTCCTGTTCCACGTGGTCACATGGGGCTTCACCCCATCTCTCTGTTCCTGTATGGGTACTGAGGGTTTGATCGGGTTTTTGTAACTAGTTTTTGTCTGCTGCAGTGTCTAAGGTCCTATAGTATTTTAAACAAGTACTAGGGTTTTACCAACCTGAAGCAATTCCCCATAAGCCTAATTTCCCCTAGGCAATGTATTGATGGTGAAGTAAGCAGTTGTTTCGAATTACTTCATATGAATTGTTATTTGGGGTAGCCAGGCAAGTAGCTTTTCCAAAGCTTATTAAACTAGTAATTAAAGTTGGCAGAGGAGAGATAAGACTTGAGTTGAAAAATATGAATCTTCTCAAGTTCAGTCATCTCCCAGTGTCTTGCCCTGGTCCTCTGTCATACAGGGCCCTCACCTGTCATCTAGGGTGCTCTGTTTAAAGTGTCTGGCTCACATGCCTATTAGGTGAACGGTAGTTCATTTCCTAAGGTTGGGACACATGCCAAGTGGCGCCCTGTGCCTTTGTCCTGCTGCAGATCGATGCCTTCCAGCACATGCAGCACTTCGTTCAGACCATGCAGCAGCAAGCCCAGCACGCCATCGCTACTGAGGACCAGCAGCACAAGCAGGAGCTGCACAAGCTCATGGCCCGGTGAGGTCCCCGCCGACCAGCGCCATTCCCCCTCCAGCCCTGCCATGCAGGCAGCTTCGACAGCAAGGAGCATGTTCCGGGCTCCTTGGGCAGCCAGTTGCTTATATCTCTCACCTTTTCCTGTAGGGGTCCCAGGAAGCCATCAAATCATGCTGCTCCCAAGTCTCTGCCACTTATTTTCCCAGGATTCAGCAGCCCAGCAGCACCTGTGTGCTGTTCTTCTCTTGGTGTCTGGCATTAGATTTAGACCCCTCACATTTAAATGCCAGATATGCTGCTAATTGGATGTGTGACTTGAGATAAGTTACTTAAGCTCTCTGTGCCTCCAGTTCCTCATCATATAAAAAGGGGATAGTGGGAATTCCTATTTCCTAGAGTGATATAGATGGCGTAGGGATTAAGAGAAAGAATACAGTGTCAGGCATTTAGAGCAGTACCTGGAATAGAGCAGCAATCGGTGAACATTATCTGTTCATATTACCACTATAAAGAATGGAGGAGAAGGGAAAAGCGAGGGAGAAGCCGTATAGCAGCCAGTGAGAACATTGCTCTCAACCACTATCACCCACAAAAATTGGATTTGGGCTAGATAGGTTCATACAGACCTACCTGTACTCCAGTGCTAGCATAGAGAGACAGAGGTCAAGAAGAGATGATACCATAAATATCCCAAATGTCCATCTCTTTCCTTCCATGTGGTTTGGAATTCTATGGTTCCATCCTGTCGCTTCCTGAGAGCGAGAGTAAATATCAGGAAGGCTTATGCTCCCCCCACCACAACTTCTTGTCCTCCTTTGGACGGCTGTGTTGAGGAGGGAGTGACATAGGGGGCTTGTTTCTCTGTTTCCAGCTGTTTCCTGAAACTCGGGGAGTGGCAGCTGAACCTCCAGGGCATCAACGAGAGCACGATCCCCAAAGTCCTGCAGTACTACAGTGCCGCCACAGAGCACGACCGCAGCTGGTACAAGGTAACCCAGACACAGCAGCGGGGGTCCCCAGCTGTGCCTTCTCCAGATGTCACACCCAGCACCTGACAGCCCGGCTGGGCACTCCTGTGTACTTCGGTTTACAGCTGGTCCGATACTGTGAATTTGCTTCTCTGAGTGGCGGGAGCTGGTCTGTCAGGGCCCCTCCAAGTTTAATTGGTACAGAAAGATTGGCAGATTCTTTTATTTGTGAAGGAATTTCTACACCATTGTTATGTGCTGGGGATGCTGCTGTCTTACAAACCCTTAGCTGCTTATTTTCCTAGGAGCATCTGGCTACATGGTTAATCTCTGGAACTTTATCTTCCCTTGGGTCATCTGTTCCCTCCCAGCTTCTTTCTGACTTCCGTTCCTGCCTGCTCTTCATCTAAGAACTTAACTTTCTCTGTTTTTGTTGGAAAGCTCTGGGTAACATCCTATTATGTCATAGGAAACTTTTCAAGAAGATAAACAGAATTAGAAAATGTATAAAAGATGGGATTGGCCAGTAGAGGAGTGATTCTCGGAAGTATACATCTCCGATGAGATGCACACATTTTCATTCTTCGATGTCTTCTCTGAGGGGCCTTCTGGTAATAGCTGCTTGGTATAGCAGATGTCATCATCGTCTTTCCAGGAGCTCCTTAACTTGCTAGTAATTTGCGAATTAATCCCTCTGGGATCCAAACCTGTATCTGAAGACCACAGAAACATCTACAACAGAAATCTTGCCCTGGTTTAATCATGCTTTGCTCTGATCTGAAAAATGCCTATTTTTTGATATCAGCAATAATTACTCTCCCTAGGACAGCTTCAGTCCAAGGCTGGAAAAATAAATCCAGTAAACCCTTGATTAGCTGGAACTTTGCTAATTAGAACTGTCTCCTACCCAGATTACTTTTCTTCATTCAGCTTTTAGGAAAGAAACTAATCATGAGAAAAAACTGCTTCTAGGAATTTTAGTTTTAGTTTTTTCCTAGTATGGGTCCTTTTGGGTTTATGCCATCTTCTGCCATCAAAGATGTCCTGTGTGCATGCAGGGACTGTTTCTGTCTCGTTCACTGTGTCCCCCTGCTCAGTGCCTGGTACGTGATAGATATATAAGAGGTATTTGTTGAGTAAATGAAAGTGTGGGAAAACTGAACTTGAGTCATTGTAGAATCTTACTCATCAAGTAAAGGTCAATTATGATCAATCTGTTCTGCTTAGGAGGGGAGATGGACACATTTATGTTTAAGGAAGGTTTTTAGCAAGGAACACAAAGAAATTTCTTGGCTATCCAGAAAGTCCAACTGTAAGTGGATTATTTAATGTCCTCCTGTCACTGCAAACTTATGAGGCCCAAATCCAACCGTGCCTCATGCTGTCCACACCAGGCAGTGCTATACCATGGCGGCGCTGCAGCCCCAAACCTCAGGGGTGTAAATAGTTCCTTCCTTATCCAAATAAGCACCAAAGGCTTCTTTCGGCAAACAGTCAGCACTGGCTCTCTGAGAGGCCGCGGGCCAGGTGCGAGGGCTAGACGAGGGTGTCCCCCGCCCCCTGGGCCATGGACTAATATCAGTCCGTGGCCTGTTAGAAACAGGGCTGCACAGCAGAAGGTGAGCGGCGGGCCAGTGAGCGAAGTGTCATCTGTATGTGCAGCCGCTCCCCAGCGCTAGCACCACCGCCTCAGCTCCGCCTCAGATCCTCAGGCCTTAGATTCTCGTAGGAGCACCGGTCCCTACACCAAAAAGATTGGGGACCGCTGGGCTAGACGATGAACGAGGTTCACTCTCCGTAATGTCCCCATGTCCTCAGTGTGTTTGCCCACTGTCATACGACCTGGTGAAGGCCTTCACCATCACCCCTCTGAACCTCTGCTCTCTTAAATCACCCGTTCTACACACTGCTGCCAAAGGAATCTTGAAAACCCAGTGAAGCTGTATTTTCTGCAGGATGAAATGGGATCTCCTTGGCTTAGTGTGCCAGCCCCTCCACAGTCTGATGCTGCCACTTGCTGGCCTTCCCCCTCACTGCTCTCCTGCACATTCCCTGGGCTTTGGTCAGATGCGATTCTTGGCTTCCTGTGAACCACCCCATGCTTGCCAACCTGTTTCTTTGTCCCTGTTCTTCCCCCGCCATGAAGTCCTGACCGCTGCCCTCTCTTGTTCCTCCCCTGCCCACCGAAGGCTGCTCTTCCAGACCTACCCCAGGTTCCCACTCCCTGTGAAGCTTCCCTGGGCCCCGTCCCCGGCCTTCCCACAGTCCGTCTCTTACTGCCCCAGTCGCATTCTGCATGAGTGAGCTCCCCTCCTAGAGTAGGGGGGTCCTGAGGTAAGGACCAGAGCTCACTCCCCTTCGCGTGCCCTCCCCCTGACACAGTAAGTGTGCCACATGAGGAGTGAGCCACGTTGCACTTAGTAAAACGCCCCATTGCCCAGTGTTGCTCAGCTGACCACAGGGAGAAAGGGCAGTCAGTGCCCTTCCTCAGCTTGGGCCTCACGCACCTCTGAGGCCCTGCTGCTTGAGCCTCCATCTGCCACCGCAGGTCACAGCCCCATTATCTGTCCTTGACGCTCGCCCCACCAGGCCTGGCACGCGTGGGCGGTGATGAACTTCGAAGCTGTGCTACACTACAAACATCAGAACCAAGCCCGCGACGAGAAGAAGAAGCTGCGTCACGCCAGCGGGGCCAACATCACCAATGCAGCTACTGCCGCCACCACAGCAGCCACGGCCACCGCCACCGCCACCAGCACTGAGGGCAGCAACAGCGAGAGCGAGGCAGAGAGCAGCGAGAACAGCCCTACGCCATCTCCTCTGCAGAAGAAGGTCACCGAGGTACCCGTCCCTCCCTCCTCCAGGGAGGACCGACCCCGGCACCAGGCGCTCT